GCCACTAACTACTGTTACTGAAGAGACATTTTACTACAGTAGAAGTAAAATCACTGTGTAAAAATGTTCTCAGATAAAAGTACAAAGTAAGTCAGTTAAAATGTCTCTGAGTAAATGTGTTACATTATTAAAATGCTGAGGGGAGGGGAAAAACATGTCTTGGTGATAATGATAACGTATGATAAAACTACTAAAAATAAATAGCATCTTTAGGCTGCCAGGTGTATCAGTTTCCAAATGAGGACAGCACTCAAATCAGCCAATTAATTCCAAATTAAATACATTATGGGCTTATGTATTATTAGAGCCTATGACTTTAATTTCGGGTAACATAAAACAGTGCATGTTATAGCTTACAGTCCTAAATGAGGCTCCGAGTAGCACAGTAACGAGTCTTGAAGTCTGTTAGTAATATCTATTAATGACCCCCCCAATCAACACAGTCTATAGAGCCATGTCTGGGCAGAGGATTGAGAGTTTTGATTTGCAGTACATACAAATAAAATTATTAAAAGTAATCATTGTAACTGTATTTTCCTGTTTGTACTCAAGTGGAAAATGCAAGAACAAGTTCTTCTTATGTGAAAACCCAATGCAGCTTCCACTTGCCAGTAACCAGTCTCTACATTTATTTTGTCCAGAGGTAACATGCGAAAGATATGATATCCCATATGCAGACATTGAGGGAAAACCTCGGCAGGTATACACGTACAGTGATCGGGTTCATTATAATTGCAAGGATGGTCGTGAGGGAAGTTTTTCTCTAACCTGTGGACAAAATGGTTGGGAAGGGTCTGAAGATTGTAGAGGTAAGAAACTACAATAATACAAGGACAAACACAGTTTTTTTCTCCTATTGTTGTTCATGGTTATGCACAATGACAGATGTTTAACTTTGGCTTGCCCAAACCTGTGAGGCTTATTGACTTCCAATCAATTCCAAACATTGTTAAACAGTTGCACTTACTTCAGACACAGTTAAAGGACAAACACTATTTTGTTAAGACGTGTTGAAATCTTTTATTAAAGAAATAGTCAAAACTGTTGGTTAAATGTTGAAGTTAACGCTTAAGAAGAAAAAAGGTAAGTAAAGCTACACCAACGTTCATGCTTGAAGAAATTTTGTCTAAGAGGACCTTGTTGAATCATAATTGATCATACTCCTGGTTCAGAGGCTTGACAAAATGAGTATACATATATGTATGTACATATACTGTTTGCATATATATATATA